CCTCCGGTCCCGGCGGAGGGGCAGTGGGAGGAGCGGTGCCATTCCGCACGGAGCGGCCAGGACGTGGGAAGCAAGCACGGGATGGAGACACACAGCAGGGCGGGCCGAGGTGGGAAGCAACAGGGTGAGCAGGAATCGTCTCCAGTGCCGTGGTTATCACACCTCTGCTGCGGCCTTCAGAGCGGGGAGCACCACAGTCCCCCCAACAGAGGTTCTTCCACGAAACCAACCTCCACACGTCCCCAAATTCACCTGCGTTGGGCGAGAGCAGCCGCAGCCATCAAGGCCAGTGTTTGCTCTCCACCCCCAGGTCTACCTGCTGCCATCAGGCACATCATTCCCTCACGGAGCGGCCCCGGCAGAGACCAGAGACCCTAACGCTGCCACGCACAGAGCACAGAGGCCATTTCACCCTTCGGGACGTGCAACCACCCCAAGCTCGCAGAGGTGCCACCGCCTTCTTCCCCCTCTGCTCTCCTACCCCGGACACAGGCAGGGCAAGGCAGGACAGCCTGGGAGCACCCTAGGAGAGTCTGGGACACTTCGTACCCAGCGGCCCTCATTCCCTGCGCAGCAAGGTGCGGATACAGCAGCGCTTCGCCAGCGCTCCGGGTGGTGCTGCCAGGGCCAGCTCGGCCTACTGGCCATTCCAAGGCCTGCTCCATCATCTGCCCCCGTCACGGAGCCGCCGCGGGCCACAGCGGCCCTACAGAAGCGTAGCCCTTGGCAGGGATTGCACAAGGCCGCCTTATTCACCTCGGGTGAGGCAACACAGGCAGGGAGGTAACGGGAAGCAAACACAAGGAGAGCTCTGCCACGCGCCGCTCGGGCAGCCTGGGGCTGTCTGAGGTGTCTCCTCTCGCCCAGAGCCCTGGCAGGGCCACGTCCCCAGCCAAGCGCACCGTACAGGATAAGCGTGGACTCGAGCTGCGGGAGATCCAATGGACCTTCCACTCCTGTCCCCTCGTCCCCAAGCAACTGCCAGCACAGGCCACTTCTGGGGTTGGCCCGCATGGGACAGGCCCAGCTCTCTCAGGATGGCCCCCTGCACCCAAGCACACGTCAAGGCCCAACTGCACCGAGTAGGAGGTTGAGCTGTCAGAGAACACAGGCCTGCATTCCTACATGGAGCTGCCGAGCAAAACAGGCGGCTACAGAATCGCTACGGTTGGAAGGGACCGCTAGAGATCACCTAGTCCAACCCCCTGCGCCAGCAGGGACACCCAGAGCACAGGGCGGCATCCAGGCGGGTTTTGAAGACTTCCAGAGAAGGAGACTCCACAACCTCCCTGGGCAGCCTGTTCCACTGCTCTGTCACCCTCACAGTGAAGAAGATCTTCCTCACATGGAGATGGAACTGCCTGGGTTTCAACTTATACCCATTACTCCTTGTCCTGTCACTGGCCACCACCGAGAAGAGCTTGGCCCCTTCCTTCCTCCCTCCATTCTCCCCTCCGGTACTTATACATGTTAATCAGATCCCCTCTCAGCCTTCTCTTTCCCAGGAGACTAAACAGGCCCAGCTCACTCAGTCTCTGCTTGTACGACAGCTGCTCCACTCCCTTAATCATCTTCGTTGCCCTCCACTGGACCCTCTCTAGAAGCTCCACATCCCTCTTCCACTGGGGAGCTCTAGGGTGGCCAGCGAGACCTCGAGCTCCAGGAGATCAACTGCTCCTGCTAGGGAGCCCAGAGAGGGGACAGCTCGAGGGAGGTGAGTGCCAACCACCCTGAGTCCCTGCCCACCTTGTTTCGTCACCAACGCCACGAGCCAGCAGCCCGCAGGCCACATTAGGATAGGCTGCTATTTTACCACTCAGTGGTTTTCACCTCAAGATCTGTGGACTACGTTAAACAGGTTAACGAAGGGTAACCAAAAACAGAGAGTCTAATGGCAGGAAACTTAATTCTAGCACTCCAGGTCCATGCCTTGGTTGGCACACACTTTATATGGCTGCCAGCGAAGCGAGGCTGGAATCTGCTGCTCCAGAGGAATCTGTTCCCTCTCCTGCTTCATCTCTCACCCTTTCGGGTCCTCCAGACCTTTTATCAGGAAACCAGCGGATTCCAGCAACGTTAAAGATCCCAAAACTATGTCCCCTCCCCTTCTCTGCAGTGACATGAAGGGAGCGAGGAGAAAGGAGTAAACAATTATTGCTACCAAATATGGATCTAACAGCCAGCGATGAAGCCACAGCCGAAGCATTTAAACATCCTGCCGGCAGATTCAAAGGGCCAAGGAGCCGTCCTCCGGGAGAGGCGGCCTGGAGCGGGGACCTCTGCGGCCTCGGCATGGGCAGCACAGGGCAAGGACGGGGCAAAGCAGGGCCAGGAGGACACAGGGAGTCCCAGCGGATGGGGAGGAGATGGGGGAACCTTCGCCTGGCCCAGTGATTTGCTCCACCCGGGCACGGAGCAGCTCCCCTGTCCCTCGCACCACGAAAGGGCCTTCTCCAGCGGCAGCTGCCTCCTTCTCAGCACTCCAGCATGGCACAAGGGCTGGGAATGGCAGCCACGGTGGCCCGGGTTCCCCCTCTCAGGGTCTGGTTCAAGGGCACAACAACACTCCCCAGCACCCAGTGCATCCCGCAGGGCCCCAGGATGGCTGCGGGAGGCCGGCAGCGACCGTCCCACCCCACCCCAGCACCCTCCAGGGGCACAATCGGCCTTTTGTCCCCGGCTCAGCGGTCCGGCCGCCCACGTGAGCGGGGCAGGAGCTCTCAGGGTGACCGGTGACCTCCCCGCTCCGAGGCGGCCGGGACACACGGCCCGGAGCGGAACCTCCTCAGGCTTCTCCCCAAGTCATACAGGTGAAATCCAGCCTTATCCCGGCAATTTGGAGCTCACCTGCACCTCCCCGGCTGGGAGAGGCAGAATTCCAGTTTGGATTTCCCCCTTCCCGCCAGCAAACCTCTTACACAGCCAGGCAAGGGGATGGGGGGAGGAAAGCCGCCGGAGCCACCCTTCCCACTTCCCCTCAGCCCCCGGTTGCTATACGTCAAACGGGGCGGACAGGAAGAGAAGAGGCACTTCAGCAACACAGGGCCCAGAAAAAAAAGAGAAACAGAATAAAAAGAGGAGAGCTTTGTAGCTGTGGGACCACGGTTACAGCGCTGCTCCCACGGGGCACAAACAGCTGCCCTGGCGCCGGTGCCTCGCTCGGCTGCTCCTCCGTCATCGGGCATGTTGTGACCGGGACTGTGGCCGTGTCACTGCGAAGCGCCGTTTAAAGCCTGCTCTAAAAGGGGCTGCTTTTGCCTCCCTTGCAGACTCCCATCCGTGAACACCCCCAGCCTCCCTGTCTGCAAATACCACCCAGCACAGGGGCATCCAGGCCGGGATATCCAGGCCCTGGACAATCAGCTGTAAGCGGCGGGGGCGAGCAGTGCCGGCCGCACCGTGCGGGAGGGAAGCGGCTCCCGGGCTCCCGCTCCCGGCTCCCCCGAGCTGCTGCCGCCCTCTGCATCCGCGCGCAGCCGCACGCGGCGTGCTCTGCAGCAGGGGCATCAGCTGCCGCCCCTCAGCTTCGGACTCATCGCGGGTGTCCCCAAAAGGCCCCTTCTATTTCAGGGCCTGGTGCTGCTGCTTTGGCTTCCGTCCCCTTCTCTCCAGCGGGTTTGCAACCAGACATTGCTGTTTTCCTTCTGCTGGACCCATGGGCACCCCACTCGCCCCTGGGCAGCTGGTGCCAAGCGGACACCACCGACAGGAGCCAGGGCACGGAGCAAAGCGGCAAGAGCCCATTCACCCGCAGGGCTCCCCTTGGGACACCAGTGAGGCTACGTCCCCAAGGGCCGGCCGCAGCACCAGGTTCGATCCGCTCAGCGCGAGCCCCTCGCGCCGGCCGGGATGAGCTGGGATCAGCTCCGTGCACAGCCGCCTCCGAGCGGATCCCTGCGCACGGGCCTCCCGCGAGGAAGCGGGCGCAGGAAGCAGCCGGGGAGGAGCGGCCGCCACGGAGCACGCCACGGACAAGGGCTCCCTTCAGCCGGCCTTTAAATCAGCCTCCGCGGCCCACGTGACGGTCAACTTCCACGGCAGGCGCGCGGCCTCCGGGGAGGCCACGGCGGCTTCCCGCTGGGTGCAGCTCCCTGCAGGCAGCGCTCACGGGATGTGGCCGGGATGCGGCTGAGCAGCGCGGCCCGTGAGCAGGACCGCGGCGGCGGGACCGGCTGCCCGGGCAGACCCCGCGGCGGCCGCGACGCCCGGCGAGCGGGACCCACGTCCCGCACGGCCTCGTCTCCCACGCGCGCGCGGCCCGGCCGCGCTCGGGAGGCTGCAGGTCGCGGTGCTGCCGCGGGACCGGCGGCACCGGCACCGCGTGCACCGCTCCCGGGCCCGGCACGTGCCGCTGTCGGACCCGAGCTGCGCTGCGGGAACCCGCTCGGGACCCCGGGGAAGCCCCGGCTCCGCTCCCCGCTCCGGCCCCGCTCGGCTCGCTGTCTCCACACGGGTTCGTGCACGGAGGGGAACCGCCTTTCCGGCGGCCCCGCGGGCCCCGGGGCAAACGGTGCCGCCGGCAGCAGGACCCTGCCCGCGGGCCGCCCCCGTGGCCGCTGAGTGAGGGCGGGTGAGCGGAGCCCCGCGCGCGCCGCCTCCTCCTACCTGTGCGCGGGCAGGAGCTGCGCGCCGGGAGCGCCGCGAGCGCCGAGCGTCTGCGGCGGCTCCGCTCCGCTCCGCTCCCCGCCCCGCCGCGCCGCGCCGCGCCCACGCGCGCGCATGCGCCGCCCGCACCGCCGCGGCCACACCCCGTGCGGCAGGCCACACCCACATGCACAGGACCACGCCCCCACGCGCAAGGCCACGCCCCCATGCACAAGGCCACGCCCTCAGGGACGAGTCGCTCCCCCGAGGCCACGGCCGCGCCCCCTACGGGTGAGGCCACGCCCATATGCCGTGGACACGCCCCCAGATCATCCACACGCCCCCGCCCTTTGCCCTGTGTTCCCTCCTCCTTTCCCCCCCCACCCGCGCGGCCTGCTGGGAAGGCGCTGACGTCATCCGTGGTGCGTTGGAAGCGTTGCCGGCGGAGGTAAGGGGCCGGGGGCCGCCGGCGTCCGGGCTCCCCCCGCCCCCGGAGCCGGCGGGCGCCGGCAGCCCCCGGGTGGGAGTGGGCGGCGGCTGCGGGTCCCCTTGCGCCTGCAGAGCGGCCTGGGGGCCCGGGCGCGCCCCCCTCCCTGCCGGAGCGAGCCGCGAGCCGGGCCCGCCGAGCGGCCGCCTCCCCGGCCGGTACCGGGCGCGCTGCGGCGGCCGCCCCTGCCACGTAGGAAGGAGCTGCCGGGGCGGCCCCCGCCCCGCCGCGGGCCGGTACCGGGTCCGGGGGCGGCCCCTGCCCCGCCGTGGGCCGCACCGTCCCTTCCTTGCCTTCAGTTTCCCCTGCTCCGAGCTGTGGCACCTGTCAGCTACATCCCAAAACCTAACGGCGCCACCGGCCCTTCCGCTTTCCCTGGCTTTCCAGCAGCTCTGCCCTCCAGGTGGTGTCTCATCCCCACGGCCCGTTCCTGCTCGGCAGGGACAGCCAGGCCGGGTGACACCATGGCCTTGTTGGGACAGTGTCATCTCCGTGGGGTGCTGAGCGCTCCTCCCTGCGTGGGGAGACGCAGCAGGGCAGTGACCTCCCGGGGACCCGCTGCCGTTTTCCCTGGGGCCCGCACTGATCCTGGCTCTTTTATTCAGATGTCGAGCTCGGAGGATTTGGCTGCCCTGGCAGAGGAGGATCTGCTCGACTTTCTGCTGAAGGACGATGCTCCCTGCACTGAAATACTGGGGGAGGAGAACAGCCTGCTGGAAGAGTGGGGCCTCTCGGAGCCCGAGGTGGGTTTTTCCGGAGGGATTGCTGGTGGTTGTGGTCTGGAAGCTCTGGCTCCCTGCTGAGTGGAAGCTTTTCCTCTGCAGTTCCTGAACAACAAGGAGATGGACACCTTCATCAGCTCCCTGCTGAGCCCCTTTGTCGATGAGCCAGTGCTGCCGCGTTACTCCCCTGCTGACAGTGACAGCGGCATTTCCGAGGACCACAGTTTGTCCCGTAGCCCTGGCAGTGACTTTGCCAGCAGCCCTCGGAGCTCAGACGTCGTGCAGTTTGATCACAATTACTCCCTTCATCAGGATGGGCCCGTGCTGGAGAGCGTGAAGTCTGAGGTGGCAGAAGGAGATGTTTCCATTGACCTTGGTAAGTGAGGCTCTCCATTCCAGCAATGTGCAGCGCTGGGCCTAGCAGGAAAACAGGACAGTGTAGGGTTATCTCATGTGGGTCACAGACTGTGATGGAGGGAACCAGCTTGGTTCCAGCATGGTCTCATAGTGCTAAAAGCGGCTGGCCAGGGATGCAACAGCATGACAGAGTGGTTAAGGTTGGAAGGTTAGGAGGTGGGAATGTCTCTGCTGCCTCATCGAGGCCTGGGGCTTGACCCTTCTCTCGTTCCCTAGAGACATGGACAGGTTTAGAAACCCCAGCTGAGACACTGGAAGAGGACTCGGCTTTTCCTTTTGCTGTCGCTGTGGATGCTGGACCCCAGTATGTGTCTGGAGCCGCCATGCAGGTACTGACTCCTAGGGCACAGAGCTGTGTCCCGTTGTCTGCCTTGTCCCCTTCTCCCCTCACTGTGGGGGTGTCTCTGAGGAGAACGCGATGCTACTGGGGCTTCTACATGCCCCGCTGTGCCCTGGGCTGTGCTCCTGATCCTTGGGATCCTCAGGAGGCCCCTTTGGGCTTTTTCCTAGTTCGACTTCCCAGAGCTCATCCTGACAGAAGAGGAGAGGCAGCTGCTGGAGAAAGAGGGGGTTTCGTTACCCACCAGTCTGCCGCTGACCAAAGTGAGTCCTTGCGACGGCTCGTAATTCCAAAACCACCTCAGCGTGTGGGAACGGCTCCGGGAACCCTTAGGCAGGGTGGGGGGTTAAAATGCAGGACGGGAACTTGCTGAGAGTATTAGCCCGTTGTGTGCTGAATTTAGGCACCATCAGGCAGGGCCAGAGAAGCTGGATCCCTTCGAGGGCCAGGGGGTCCATGTGCAAAGCAGGTTTTTCATAGCCAAGAAATGCAGAGCAGCCACCCTGTTAGCTGCTGGGGATGGTGTGGTGTCTTGTGGTGAGGGGTTCCTCTCTGCAGGACAGAGGCTGGAACACTGTGGAAAGATGTACCGCTGTTCAGGGCATCTCCAGCAGGGAGAAATACCCTTCAGCCGTAACCCTGAGCTGCCCGCAGGGGCACAGAGAGCAGCAAGAAGCCTGGCTGCTTTCAGGCTGTTTGCAGAGACAGTTGCACTGCTGCTGCCTTCAGCATTTTGCCTGCTGCTTGCCTGCTGCCCTGTGTCTTTTCACCTCGCTCTTGGTACACTGGGCAACTGCTGGTTGTGTCAGCAGGCCAGAGTTTGCCCTCTAGCCGATGTAGTTCATGCAATGGTTTGGGGGAGGACAGAGGCAAAAGCACCCGGGTTGCTGCCCTTCTCACCAGGGGTGAGCGCTCAGAGGTGCCCAGGTCCTGCTGGGGCTGAGGTGCCACCTCCCTTGGGTGCTTTTGCAGGCTGAAGAGCGGCTCCTGAAGAAGGTGCGGCGGAAGATCCGAAACAAGCAGTCAGCCCAGGATAGTCGCCGCAGGAAGAAGATCTATGTGGATGGCTTGGAAAACAGGTACCTGCTCGTGGCAGCAGCGCTCTGCTGCTGCTGGGGTCTCGCAACCATGGGTAGAAAGCGAGGCTGAGTCTGTAGTTTGAGTCTTCTGAGAAGAGCTACAGCCAGAAGCTGGGCAAACGGCCTGCTCTGCTCCTTGGGGTGGCATGGGGCTTGTTCCCTTTGAGCAGAGTGCTGGCTTGGCAGGGCCCACGTAGCACATGTGGCCCGGCACCGCTCACCTGCCGGGCTGCCGGCTGTGCTGCTCGGAGCAGGCACCATCACAGGAGAACCGAGGGATGGGTCAGGGCTCATCCCACCCTGCAGCTCGTGTGCAGCCTCATTCCTGGGCTTTGCACTACCAACAGTGTCCGTCCCAGCCACCCATGGAGGTGGTGGCTGATTCCTTGCAGAGGGGCTCCGGGAAGGGCCTGCTCTTGCCTAACAAACCCTCTCTGTGTCTCCCCGGCGCTGTTCGTCTGCCCCGGGCAGGGTGGCAGCCTGCACAGCTCAGAACCACGAGCTGCAGAAGAAGGTGCAGCTGCTGCAGAAGCAGAACATGTGAGTTGCTGTTGTGGGACGTGGCTTGGGGTGTGGTGTGGAAGGCTCTTCTCATGACTGTTATCAGTCTCTGGCTGCAAAAGGGGAAGTTCTTGCTCCAGCCACCGCATTAATCTGCGTTGCCTGCTCTCCTGCAGGTCCTTGCTTGAGCAGCTGCGGAAGCTGCAGGCGCTGGTGAGGCAGTCCACGACCAAAACAACCACGGCCAGCACTTGCATTATGGTGAGTGGCTTCAGCCCCAGCCTCTCTGAAGGGGTCTCTGTCACCACAAGTTTGGTGAGCGGTATTCATGGTGGCTAGCAATGCCTGTGCCTGCCCTAGGGTCAGGAGGGCTTTGCTCATGGCTTCTCTTTCCCTTTCCAGGTCCTCGTTCTGTCCTTCTGCCTCATTCTCTCTCCCAGCCTCTATTCCTTTGGGAGCAGAGGGCCGCAGCCGGAGCTCCGAGGTGAGTGCCTGGGAGATGAGGACAACTCCAAGTGAAGTGTCCCCCTCCAGGGCAGAGCCTTCAGAGACGGAGCTCTTGGCAGCAGCCCCTTGCCTGGGGGGGTAGATTTGGGTTTGGCTTTGCTCTCTGGACAGTGATGGAGCTGCTCAGGTGCTCGTGCCTGGTGGCTGTGCAGCGTTGTTTGAATGTCTTCTCTGTGGTGTCCTGTGCTCAGAACAGGCCCGTGGCAGCTCGTGTCCCCCGTGTGCAGGGGTGACAAGGCTGCCTCTGCCTCTCTTGCAGTGCTGTCACGGCAGATCCGCGAGTTCCCCAGCCAGGTTTGGCAGGCAGCACCTGACGTGCAGGAGGACGCTGCGCTGGAGACGCTTAGTCCAGAGCCTGAAGACCCTTCGCTTTTGGGCCTCCTCAACCAGTCCCGGGAAGAGGGGCAGAACCTACCTAAGCCCAACCCCAGGTCCTCTTTCAACAGCAACTCCTCCTCCGACCCTCCGGTGGCAGCGGGCTCGGAGCTGGGCCCTCCGCAGCCGCAGGAGCAGCGCCCCGGCAGCGCTGCCCAGCACTCGGCAGCACCGGCACCTTGGGAAGCCAAGAGGCAGCAGTGGGTGGAACGCACTGCCAGCGTGGTCATCCAGCCGCACCGCGTCGATGAGATGTGACCACCCCATCTCCCCTGCCAGGGCCCTGCCGGGCACCCTGTCGAGAAGTGACGGACAGAAAACTGTGTTCCCAGCTAATCTATCAAAGCAGATGCTTTTAGATACTCCCTGATTGCGGGCAGCTCAGCAGGTTTGTCATGTTAGAGGTGACCTGCTGGTCCACACTGCCCTGTGTGTCCATAACAGGCGCCTGTCGGAGATGAGGTGAGATAGGAGCCTCGGGGAGCTCCTATCTAGCTGCTGTTTTCCTGCTGTGCTGCCCACGTGGCCTGTGGCCCTTGCTCACGGCGGGGCTCACTGGGGAAGGGCTGGTGTGTGGGGCTGAGGGCACCCGGTGATGCCCCATCTGCAGGGCCAGAGAGCTGCTGTGCCTATGGGCAGGCGCCCTGCCCCGCTTCCCCGCGGCTGGGTAGAGCTGGACAGGCCAAGGCCTGTACTCCTTGCTGTGTGTGGCAGCCACGGGGGTCTGTTTGTCCCCTGTTGTCACCTCATTTCTGTGCGGCGTGCTGGGCTGGCTGCCAGCCTTCGGTACCCTTCGGAGTGCCCGGCCCCTGCGCAGGCGCTGCATGCCCCCCATTCCTGCTCGCGCCAGCCATGGGCACAGTGCAGCTCCTGGTGCACCTGGGGAGGGGGCAGCCCTTTCCCAGCTGTGCAGGCACCTGTCGCCCATCCAGCTTTTTGGGGCTACCCTTTCCACGAGCCCGGGAGCAGGACTCCGGAGTTCCAGCGGGGAGAAGGGGCAAGGCTCGTACCGGGCAGCCAAAGCAGGAGCGGCAGAGAGCAGCAGAGCTGCTTGCTTTCCTGCCGGCTCCGCAGGCAGCCCAGCCTCCTGGCCCCATGTCCTCGTGGGCACAAGCCCCCCGGCCCTGCACGGGGAGGCCGGCGGCCGCAAGGCCCATCGGAAGCACCGTGAGCTGGGGCTGGGGTCCCCGCGAGGGCGGCCCCGCGCAGCCGCTCTCCTCGCCTGCACCGCTTCTCAGCTGGTGAAGATGTTTCCATGTGAATGACGTGTAAATAAAGCAGGTCCTCCATGACGTTACCATGTTAATGACATGTAAATAAAGCAGCTCCTCCGCGCCCTCGGGGTGGTGTTGGAGCGGGGTGCATGGCGGAACCCAGCGGAGGAAGCGCGAGGGGCCGCGGCTGCCCCGGCTCCGCTTTCGTAACCGCCGAGCGGCACCGTGGCAGGAAGCGACGCGAAGGTGGCGCGGTGCGGGCCCTGCTCTCCTGTCCTGTCCTGTCCCTGCTCCCGCTGAGGGCTGCAAGTGAAACAAGGGGGCCTGGAACAGCCTGTCCCTACCCATCCCCATCAGTGCCCAGGCAGGGCTGGGGCTGTGGGGCGAGCGGTGGTGCTTGCTGGGCTGGTGGGTGGCTAGGGGCAATGGGGCACCCCCATGCGCCATGGTCTTGGCTGCTTTGCTCGGCCTGCTTGGAAAAAAGATCCTGCTCTGAGAGGAGGCTGGGTGCCAGGGAAACAGATGGGGCTCCGCGGCCAAGGCCTCTCAACAGCAGCTCTTGGCACAAGGGCCTGGTCCTTTAGTACAGGGATGCTGTGATGGGGCACAGATTGAGAGGCTGGGTTGTCTTGGAGGCCAGAGCCAGCTCGGGTGCTGCCCTTGGGATGTGTCTGCACAGGCGGCCTTGGGGGACGATTGCTCTGCTGGTCCCCGTGCTGTTCCACCACTGGCATTCGTGTCATCTCCCCTGCGTTCTGGATGCAGCCGGTGTGGGGCTGGGGCCCGAGTCCCCATTAGCTCTTCTAGTCCAGAACGTGGCCCGTTTCCCACTGGCAGAAAGGCAGTAGGGCCCTACATGAACGCAGCCTGTTTTCACCCAACCCTCTGTGTAACAGCACTGCCAGTAATTTCATTTTGCCTTTGGTCGGAAGAGCAGCCACAGAGCTGCCCTGGGGATGGGTACGTGCCCTCCCGCTGCTGCGAAGCGTGGCCGGGCAGAGCAGAACCAGGAGGCCTCACCAGGCTGCTCCTGCCTCTGGCACTGGCGGTGCGAGACAGAAACCCTCTCTTTTCCGTTTGACAGCTCCGTGTTTCCTTCCTTGAGGGCATGTGTTTCAACAGAGGTTATAAAAGTGGGAACCGAGGCTTGTTCGCAAGGACACGGGGTTGGGGGAGCTACACGCCCCTTCTCCCTGGCTCGGAGACCAGGAAGAGGAAGGAAGTCCTGCCCTCCCCAACAGCAGCCGCGGCCCTCCCTAAGGCCGCGTATCTTGATCCACGAGCACCAGCTGCTGGATATTGGTGGAAACAGGAGCAGCAACAGGGGGGATCCCCAGGCCGGGGCTGCGTCCGGCTGGCCGTGGTGCCCGTGCCTCCTCCCGGAGCGCTCCTGGGGCTGCCGCAGCCATGGGCATAGCCCCGAGCGTCTCCGGCAGCTCCCCAGGGAGCCGGGACCAGCTGCGTGGTCCCCGCGGGAGCTCCCGCCTCTGTGGCAGGCCGTGGGATGCCCTGGCTTCCTGCACATCTCCCTAGGGAAGGGGCCTCCCTGCACGGGTTTGAGTCGGGGCAGGACACAGAGGCAGGAACCGCTTTTCCTTCCAAACGCTTTACTTCCCGCCGCTGCGCCGCGTTCCCGTTGGGCCGATGGAGGGGCTCCGGGCCGCGAGCGGCAGGAGGACGGGCAGCTCCCCGCGACCGTGGCCCTGCTCGCCGGGCTTCCCGGTGGCCGTCACTTGATCCGGGTGAAGACGCTGGTGCCGATCCTGCGGGGCGCCCGTCACGGCGGCTCTGGGCCGCAGCAGAGGGGCTCCCCTTCCCGCCCAAAGCCAAGGGCCCCTTTTCCCCCCGGGATGGGGGTTTCTACACAAGGCGCATTGGCCGCGGCGGCCCCGACGGGGGTGGCAGCCGCTCACCTGGTGGCCTTCCAGTCCTGGCCGGGGCTCTGCACTGCGTCGCGCAGCAGCCACAGCGCGTGCAGGGCCTCCTCGCCCGCCTCGTCCACGTAGCACTGGCCCACGAAGGCCGTGGTCCTGCCGCCGGGCGCCCCTGCGAGGGCGGCATGGCCTGAGCTGTCCCATGGGCGCCGCTCGGGCCTCCCCATCGCATCCCATTGCATCCCAGCCCACCCCGTCCCGTGCCGTCCCTGCCACCGCCTACCGTGCGGCCCCCGGTGCACGAGGAAGGAGAAGACGGGCTGCGCCGCCAGCGCCACGTCCTGCTGCACCCCCTTCAGCGGCCACGCCACGGCCTGCGGGCCGCCCGCCGCCGGCACGTAGGAGCCCAGGAAGCTGCCGTCGGGCTCCAGCACGGACACCACCGCGCGGCCGCCGTCGTCGCTCCGCCACGAGCCGGACAGGACGCACTGCGAGGCGAGGCAAGGGGCTGGGGACGCCACCGCCATCGGGGGCTTTTGCCAGCGCAGCGGCTCGGCCGGGAGCTCCCCAGGGCAATTCCCGGTGTCCATAGCGGGAGCCTCCCCTCCTTCCCAGCCTCTTCCTGCAGTCCCAGTACCTTCCTGCTGGCCAGGCCAGTGTGCGGCTCCAGTACCAGGAGCAGGAGCAGGGCGAGCGCGACGCTCCCCATGGCCGCGGGGCTCCCGCGCCCGCCTGCCCCCGGCCCCTTTATAGCCCCCGGCCGTAACCGGAGCCGCCGGCCGCGCGGCGCGTGGCAGGGCGCCCGGGAACGCCATGGAGGCCAGCAGGTCTGCGTGACCCAGCCAGCGCCGCGCGGCCGCTATACATAGTGCAGCCTCGTCCCCCCGGGCAGCCCCGTCCCGGCTCCCACGGAGCCTCCCGAGCTGCCGGAGAGGGGGACGGGGCACTGGAGCTGGTAGTTATGGGAGTCGAATCCCCGCTCGCCTCCCTGCCCTGTGTGGGATGGCAGAGGGTCTCTGCGGCCTGCAGAAATCACCCCTCGTTGCTCTGCTCAGGTGCCACCCTTGTTTTCCTCTCTGTTTTTAAGGTCCCGGCCTAATAGCAACCTGGAAAAAAAAAATCAGCTTCCTTGCTTGGAATCTCATTTCCGGAGAACCTGGGGCTGGAAGCCCTTGCTGGCTCCATCCCTCGCGCCGCCCGAGCTTTGGTGCATGGCCGGGGATGGCACCCCAGTCACGCCTTGGTGTCACCCAGGCTGGACAGCACATTGTGAGCACCAATATCCACCCTCGCGCCCACCGGGGACACTGCGTTTGTGCTTTCGCTGAGGAAGAGGCTTCAGCTGCCAAAGCCCGTGCTCGGAAACAGCTGACTAAGCTCGGCCACGGTCCTGCCCGAGGCGAGGGGACGCAGCGGGCGCAGGGGCAGTGCACGCCGCGCAGGGGACATTCCCCACCTCTCCGGGCTGCGTCCCCGAGCGCTGCAGCGGGCACAGCAGCCCACTGCATGTGGACATTAGGGTGGGATGCGATTGCCCAAATGTGAGTGTAACGAGTTGTGGCGTCTCTGGGGTGGGAACAGACAAGCACCCGTCTGGCTCGCGGGGCTGGAAGCTCCCGGGTGGGTGCTATGGACAAGGAGGATCCCTCTCCAGCGGGAAGGCTGCTGCGGCAGAGCCCCTTGCATGCCCAGTGCCAGCCAGTAGCCCTGGTGCACCCCAGGTGCCTCATCCCCGGGACGGGATCCTGCAGGCTGCACTGAGCAGAAAACATCTCTCTTCTCACCCCTTCACTATTTGTGTTGTCCTTTATGCATTTTCAAAAGACTTTTCCTAGGATCAGGCTCTCAATCCACCTTTCCCTCTCCTCCTGCACCCACATGGGGGATGTTTTGCTGTTGCCCTGTGGGCTGTGCACGGTCCTTTCAGGATGCTGCTGGCCGAGGGTTTGCACATAGGCAGGGTCCCTTTGCTCCATGCGAGGTGCCGGCGGGCCCGTGAGTGTCCCTGCATCTGACAGCACTGCTGGCCCATGGAGGGTGTCGGGACAGGTTGCGTTTCCGAGCCCTTGGCGGATCTCGCCCGCCAGACTGGACGGCGTGTTCCGCTTGCACATTTAATCACCCCATGTGGGGCTATATTTGTCCTGTGGTTGCGGAAGAGGCTGAGAGAAACCTGCCAAAAAAACGGCTTGAAAACAGCTGACTAAACTCAACTGCTGTCCTGGATGCATCCAAATTCCTGGTTACAACAGGGAGTGGAAGGTCTCGCACCTGCTGCCCCCAGTACCTTTGCTGTGAGACCTCCTGGGATGGGCATTGCTGGGGGCTGGAGGTGATGGGACACGGCTCACACATGTGGCCCCACTCTGCACTCAAGTGTGTGGGATGTATGGATAGTCCAGGGCTGCAAAAATGCCTGGCAGGGAGGGACACAGGGGGCTCGCCGGGGAGGGACACATAGGGCTTGCTGGGGAGGGATACAGAGGGCTTGCCTGCTTGCTGCAAGCCTGGCAGCTTGACTGGGACACGGGAGGGATCCCTGCCACTGACAGGCAGCTGAGGAGCAGGGCAAATTGGGATTAGGATAAGGAGGGCAGTGTGAGCAGGGAGCTGGATGCAGGGAGCAACTCTGATGCCTCTGGAGATGGATTGTGCTGGTCAGAAACAGCCCTCAGCCCTCGCCTCTGCCGGGGACCCGTTGGCTTTGGAGAGGGAAGCAGCATCAGCGTGAACGAAGGCGAGGTTTTAAAAAGGCAACTGTGTGAGATAATATTTTGGGGAGGGGAGGCTCATTTTGGTTCTGGTGCACAGGAGTCATGGGTGTTGCAGGAGGACCCAGCTGGGGCACATGCTGAGCATCCAGATGGGGTCCTGTGAAGCATCTGGATGGGATCCTGTGCAGCATCCGAATGGGATCCTCCACATCATCCGGATGGGGTCCTGCACAGCATCCAGATGGGGTTCTGTACAGAATCCAGATGGGGTCATGCACAGCATCTGGATGGGATCTTGTGCAGCATCTGGATGGGATCCTGGACAGCATCCAAATGGGGTTTTGTGCAGCATACAGATGGGGTTCTGCGCAGCATCTGGGTGGGGTCCTGTGCAGCATCCAGATGGGATCCTGTGCAGCATCCAAATGGGGTTTTGTGCATGATCCGGATGGGATCCTGTGCAGCATCCAGATGGGGTCCTGTGCAGGCAGCGGCAGGATGGCGCCTGCCCCTGGCAGGGACCACGACGCGGCAGAGGGAGCCCGGGCGCGCGGTGGGGACACGTGGGGAGGCAGCGTGGGGCTGGCGGGACTCTTGCTGGAGGTCCCTTCACGGCATGGGCGATGGGCTGTCCTCGCAGGAGGGGTCCCAGCTCTGGGGGATCTTCCCCTTGTGGCCACGCTTGCGCGTGAAGACGTTTCTGCCCACCCTGCGGGAAGCGGAGAGCTGTGGCCGCCAGCGGTGGCCCGGTTGGGGCTGCCCGCACAGGGACTCTCTCCCTACCTCGTGGCTCTCCAGTCCTCCTGCAAGGAGCCCACGGGCTCACGCAGCAGCCAGGTGGTGGCCAGGACCTCCTTGCCACCCGTGTCCACGAAGCACTGTCCCACGAAGACGGCCGTGGCGTCTGCGGGAAACGGGCAGGAGGACGGGGACGGTGCCCGGGCTCAGGGAGCACGTCACAACCGGGACCCCCGGGAGTCCCTTGGGCTGGACCCCGCCAACCCCACAGGCGGGTGCAAGGCTGCTCAAGCCACCCTGTCCAGGGTGCTGCAGCCATCCCACCCCCCGTGCAGTGAGTCCCCCTCCATTCCCCCATTCCCCAACCTCTTCCCCTTGCTCAGACGCACGACCGCCCTTTGCACAAGGCAGATCCGGGTCTCCCGCGCCCACCGTGGTGCCTGCCCCACTCACCATCCCTGCCCCGTGCCCATCCCCGCGCCGCCCAGCACCTACTGGAGAACTTCTCCCAGCGCACGGTGAAGCCGAACGTGGGCCAGGCCGCCTCGCCGAGCTCCTGCCGGGCGCCGCTGAGCGGGGACGCGCGGATGCAGCCGCCGGACAGGCTCACCCGCGTCAGGTACTCGCCCTGGAAGCTGCCGTCGTCCCGCAGCGCCGAGATCTCCATCAGCGACTCCTGCTCGTTCCTCCACAGCCCGCTCAGGTCACACTGCAAGGGGCACAAACAGGGGCTGTGCAGGCACCGGACAAAGGCACCTGTGGCCCGCCAGGGCACCTGGCTGCCTCCCCACCTCCAGGGGCTGTTGTCCATCCCCAGGTGCCCCCAGCTGCAGTTCGGATACGACAGGCACCATGCGGGAACGGCAGCTCTCCCTGCTCCCCCAGCGAGCTGCAGCTGCCACCCGCAGTGTGGCACAGGGAGCCTGTGCGTGAGCAAGAGGACGGTGGTGGCAGGGGGGATGTTCCTCCTTTCTGTTCTGCTCCCGTCACCTCCCGAGCCCATGCTTTGCAGCACCAAAGCTCCCCGCCTGCATCCCTTGTCCTGGCTGGAAAAGGCACCAAGGCGAGGAGCCCCGGCTGCTCACACCACATCCCAGACCACGCTCCCACTGCGCCAGCCCCAGTACCTTCCTGCTGGCTGGACTGGCACGTGGTGCGGGCACCACGAGCAGGAGCAGGAGCGGGGCGAGCGCGACGCTCCCCATGGCTGCAGGGCTCCCGTGCCCACCTGTCCCCGGCTCCTTTATAGCCCCGCGGCCGTAACCGGAGCCCGTGGGCAGCAGGTCGCGGGGAGCCGGGCGCTGGTGGCAGGGCGCCCGGGGCGCGCGCGGCCAGCAGGTCTGCGTGACCCAGCCAGCGCCGCGCGGCCGCTATACATAGCGCGGCCCGGGGCTGCCAGCCCTGGCACTGTTTGCGCAGCCCCGGGCCCGGGCTGGGCAGCACAGGGGCTGTGGGGCCTGGGGACACGGCGCTGCCAGCCCCACTCCTGGCAATGGGGCCGGCAGGGGCTGCACGGAGCACTTGTAGCACTGCCACTGTCCCACTGCCATGTCCCACTGCCCCATGCAGTGATGCTGGGGTGCACGGCCCCACCAGCTCTCCTCCCCAGATGCAAAAAAATGCACCTTTTCTCCAGGGATTTTGTCCTAATGATAATTTCCTTCTCTGTTAGAGGTTTCTGCTGCTTTTCTCAGTTGCTGGGCTTTTCCTGGGTCTGGAAGCAGTGGCAGCTTGCAAATCTTGTACGGCTCTTGGACACCCCACAGCTAATCCATGCAAGTGCTTGCACAATTGCAAGTGCTAGTGCTAGTGCAATCCCCCAGCACTGCAAGTGCTGACAGGCCCCCCTGGGACTGTGCTGAAGTTAACACGGGAATTAGACCACCCAGACCCACACTGGGATGATGGTTAGTGGTCTTTGCCAAAGTTACTGACGCCTTTTCCTCCAGCAGAGACGAGCAGCTGCTGGGAGGACCTGCTCCAACGCAGGACAGGCGCTGCACACATCTTGGCTTGCTGCAGCCACCTCCTGGAGCCACCTGGCTCAGCATTGGGGTCCCAGAGAGGTGGCAGGTTTGTCTCTGCCCTCCCTCAGGCAGCCCCAGCCTGGCTTTGCCCCAAAGTCGGGGAGCAATGACAAGACAAGACGCTCGCAGATTGGCAGCCCCGAGGCTTTGCTGTGAATGGAGCAGTTCTGTGGGGCAACGGGAGAGGAGCAGCTCAGCTGCCCTCCAGCAGTCCGTGGGAGATGCAGAACCGAGAGGCTGGAGCGGTGGGCAGAGGTTTTCACAATACACGGGGGACACAGGGCACAGACAACTCCTCTGCAGTGGTCGAGTGTCCCATCACTGGAACCGGGTGAACACGTCACTGCCAATGCTGCAGGGAAACAGAGCGCTCTCTCCTCGGCGCACCAAGACCAGGAGGGACTTCTTGCTCTGACCCCCGTGCAGCACAGGAGAGGACCACCGGTACTGCCCATGCTGACCATCACGATCAGCAACCAGCAGAGCACCCTCCAGATGCTCTAATGGACCCACGGGCTCTGCCCAAACCTCACCTGGTGGCTTTCCAGTCCTCCTTGAGGTTGCCGACCTCCTGTCTCAGGAGCCACGTGGTCCTCAGAATTTCCTTCCCGTCGTCATCCACGAAGCACTGGCCCGTGAAGACGGTGGTGGAGTCTGCAGGGAAGGAATGGGAGGTGGAGTGTGCTGGGGACAGGGTGTAGGGTGACAGCACCATTTGGTCCAAGAGAGGTCCCTCACGCTGCTTGTATCCAGGAAAGGACACGGAGTGGCTCCACACAGTGGGGAGAAGATAAGAAAGGGATGACTGGTGTACCCAGGACACGGAGTGCAGGGCTTTCTGCAGATATTCTCAACCCCTGGGTTAGGGGTTTCCTTGAGCTTAGGAGGTTTCACTCCTGTTTGGGGTGGAAAAGGCTGCCATGAGCAGCTAGAGAAGTACCTGAAAAACTCCAGTTGACAGCGAAGCCAAAGGTGGGCTGGTTCACCTCGTTCTTGGGGTGCTGGGATCCCTGCAGCGGAGAAATCTTGATTTCGTTGCTTGTGGCTGTCACGGCGGTGTGATACAAGCCAGAGAACTCGCCCTTGTCATTCACAGAATCGATGGTCATGCTGGAGCCCAGGTCGTTGATCCAGAATCCCACAGGACACACTGCAAAGGGGCCATCAGCAGAGCCAGGACAGGCACAAAACACGGCAGGGGGAGCCCCTTGGGGCAGCCAGCTCCGTTACCTTGCGCTTCTCATCAGCAGTGACAGATGCCACCGCCGGGGCGAGGACGAGGATGAGTCTGCCCATGCCCAGTCTGCCCATGTCCAGTCTGCCCATCCTGCTGACGTGTGTGGGCAATCGCTGCTGGAATGCCGCAACCCCCGGGCTGTCCTGCCCGGGGAGCACGGGTGGTGGCCGTGTATAGGCCTGGGGACAGGGGCTTTGGTGCTGATTGCTTTCAAATGTCCCAAGGAGTTAACGCCAATTGGCTCTTATCTCACCCGTATATCTTACTGACTTTCCCAGAAAGGCCCTGAGCAAACAAACACGGAAAGTGAAAGGAGAAATCAGATAAGACACTTGGATCTCCCACCCATCTGAGGGGACATCCTGTCTGGCGTGAACCCCCTGGATGTCCCCACTCGCCATGGGGCCGCACAGCCCCACGGGGATGAGGACAGCAGGGGAGCGGGTGCAAGCCCTGGTGGGTTCTGCTGGATGAGGTTGGGGGGCTGACTCTGTCCCCTGCACATCTGCCATACGCAGCTGGAGGGGAGCAGGAGCAGGGAGAGGGTTCCTGGAGGACTAGGCTCTGCTTTTCTCCTGTGCTCATGCTGCACTGTCTTTCCCCTTTGGGTTAAATCCCCTTTTTTGAGGGAAAAAAAACCCTCTGTGGGTTTTCCTAACCATGATGTTTTCATCTATCTGAGTAGGAAACTCTTAAAAAAAAAAAAATAGAAAGCAGCAATTTCTTCCCAAATCAGGGCTCAGTGGCTTGTCTTCTCCAGAGACACTGGGGAGAGCAGGGCCATGGGGCTGGCAGAGGGTCATCCATGACCGGGATGAACTCCTGCCTGGCCATGGAAAGCTGCAGAAAGGGTCCAGCTCAAGAACCCAAGTGGCTTTGGTGCAGACAAGTCCCAAGCAGGATGTGTCCGTGCAGACTGGCAAGGTTTTCCTTTTCATTCATGGACATGGCCCACGTGGCAAGAGCTATAGGACTTCAGTTACAACAGGTGACCAAAATGAGCATCAGGTTTTCTCTAGGTCTTGACCAGATGTCAGGGCTGTGACTCTGCTCACACACAGAGGAACTAGCCACCAATTCCCTGAGTCACCCAGGAAGTCCCCAGCTCTAGGTCTGCCCTTCTGAGTCAAGGATGGAACTAACATTGAACCCTGGGGCACTGCACACTGGGTCATTGACACTGAAACAGGTTATTTCAGGATTTTTATGGTTAGCTCTTTGTCTCATGGTTACAGGAAGGTAATTTCAGACACTCCTCCTGCTTTTGTGGTCCAGTTTATGGTCTTTGAGAATGGGAGTTAATAGCCTGGCTGGAGAATCTGGCCCTCCCCTCCAGCGCTTGTGCTGTGGATGTGAGCAGGCTGAACCTGGATAAGGCACTTGTTAACAGCTGATGGACACTCTTCTATACGTGGAGAGGGTATTTAAGGGAAGTTTTCTATATGGTTAATCGTCATTAATGGCTCAGGCATGTGCTGGAGAGGTCACGGAGGAGTATGGCCAGCAGGACAGCAGGAACTGTTCACAGCAATGGGCTGGGGCGTCTTGCTTGATCCCACTGCAAGGACTCTTCCAACAGGGATTCCCGTCACTGTCAGGAACCAGCGTCCTCTTCGAGAGATTTGAGGCCCTACATGAGCACCATGCTACATCAAGAAGACCTCAACCTATGCCAAGAAGCCCCCAATAAAATATGGTGATGATGATGATGGTGCTGAACAAATGATCTCCTCAAACAACAAATGCTCTTTAGCAATCCATGCTGAAGAGGGCAAAACACGTGCAGGGAAGCAGCCTCAGCCACATGCGCTCACTGATGCCCAGCGTGTGCCCAGCAGCACCATGTCTTGCCACCCCTGCTCCAAAACCTGCTGGCAACCTGTGGGCCTGGGTGCTTTGCAGCTGTGTTGGGGGCCCTCGCAGGTTTTAAGATGTGCAGCTCTTTGTGCCAGCTCCCTGCCTTGCTCCTTGGTGCTGATAATACAGCCGGGACAGGACGCACAGCCCAAGCGTGACGTGGGGCACCCCTGAGCTGGCCACACACCCCTCTGCTTCCCATGTTTCTAGCCCTAAGGTCCTTGTAAAGCCTGGACTAAATGCAACTTCAGAACACAGAGACATGAGGAGGTTCCTTGGAAAGGGACTTCAAGCAGAGCAGCCGCAGCTTTGAGGACATCATGGACTGAGGGCAGCATAATTTTTCTCCCTTCTGAGAAGTTGTAAAATGACAGCCCGTCCAGAAATGCTGCAAGAGACCCAGAAAGCTGCCTAAGTTTGCAGTCGGAAGGGAGGCAACGGGGACAAAACAAGGTTGCTTAAGAATCAGGAGAGGCTTCCGAAAGAGGAAAAACAAAGAGCAAACAAAACGTAAATCCCCAGCAAGGCCCACCAATGCAAGCGGAAAAACTTGCTGAAGCCACCAGCGCTATTAATAAAACCTTGCCAGGAATGTGGGTGCCGGGACCTGCAGCAGCGGCCGCGGAGAGCTCAGCGCGAGCCCCGGCCCCTGGGCACAGCAGCGCCCTGGCTGGCAGCGCTCCGGGGACGGCAGCTCCGGCGCAGGAGCTCGAGGAACGCCCTTGGCTCCAGAGCTGGCTTTCCTGGAAATCAGCACGGGCGGCAGGGACGGAGCGGGCTGCGGGGCGGCCGGCGGCTCCGCGCGGCGCTTGTTCCTGCACTTCCTGGGCTGTTCCTGTCTGCGCTGCCTGTTTCCAGTAAATGACATGGACGGTCTTGGGCAGGTTCGGCGCCGGATCTTCCGTGAGCGGCACCGCGGGGCTCTGGGTGTGACGGGCAGACTGCTCTGCTTGCGAAAGGGCCCCGGGGTCACGGCTCTCAGCACACGTGCCCATGCACAGACCCAGACCCAGCACCCCATCCCCTCACACAGGGTTCCCGCTGTGCCGCCGTGTCCCTGCACAGACACTCTTGTGGCCAGGGCAGGCTGAAGAGCAGCAGAACAAGTTGACCAAGCAGCCAGGACCGACTGGAAGAAGGAGGGGACAGAGCAGGGGTGCAGGGTCCCCCCTCTATTACAAGGGGGCTCCCCCAGGGCTGCTAAGGGAGGGAACTCGCCAAGCAGGGCAAGCAAGAGCATTATCTGGAGTCTAACACAATGTCCTGAACAGGAAGCACTTGGTCCTTAGGGACAAATCTCTGCTGAAAATAGCCTAAGAATTTCTTAGGGCTGCAGGAGCACCTGGCAAGGGAAAGCAGGACGTGAGGGCGCACACGTAGAGGGTCCCAGCTCCCCTGGACCTTTCCTGTTCCTGTTTCCCGTGCGGTCCCATCTCTCCCTGGCAGCTGGCAATGCAGCTCCTTGTGCTCCCAGTGCCTTCCCAGGGTCCATCTACAGAATGCACTACACCGAGTCCAAAGATAAAACCTTCATTTTATTCCCATTTTGGAGGGTCTTTCCCTGAAGATGAGAACAGCTTCCGAGCATAGACCAAAGTGCAGCTCTCCCGGGCTGTGGGAGAGCACAAGCTGCAGGCAGTGGGGGCACCAGTGCCGCACGAGCAGACACACAGGTCTGGAGGAATGCTCTGTATGAGCCCTGCTAGGAAGGGGGAGGCAAGGACAGGGGCTGGCAGACAGCCTGGGTGCTGAGGGACCCGGGCAGGGGGGGCCCAATGCTGACCAGAGAGGGATGAGGCATCCCTACGCCACGTAGGTCATCTAGGGATTGCTCATAGGGATGGTTTGGAGGTGACTGTGAAGGTGAGGAAGACTACTTTGTCTAGGTCTTAGTCTTACTAGGAAGACGCCCGCTTTGCATGTCTGTAGTGGCTCTCGTGCAGAGGTGATAGTAGGTGTTGGAGCTTCTGGTGTGGCGCCGTCACCAGAGTCCCCAAGAGTAGGAGAACATGGAGTGTGAAGGGGAAGCTCCTGAGTCCCTTGTGAGGAGCTTATCAGAGAAAAAAATCAACTCTCATTGTTTTTTTCAGAGCTGATGTGGGCTTCAGAAGTGTTATGAGGTCCCATGTGTGGAAGGGAGCTGCCTCCAACATACAAAGCTCAGAGGCAGCAAGCCGCTGAGCAAAGGCCCTTGCTCTGAGCACAGCAAGCGCCCCAGCTGAGAGCCAAGTCCCAGCTAGAGAGGAGCTGGGGCACACAGGGTCTTCCTGTCCTGCCTCTGATGCTCCTGGTTTGGAAGGAGCTTCTTGCTGAAGAACCTCAAAGCAGCCTGAGCGGAGCTCCTGCCAAGTCCCTGGTGGCATCAGCACACAGCCCACCAGTTTCCCCAGACCTGCAGCAGTACTAAGCTACAAGAGTGAGAAGTGACACACAGGTAAGTGAGGTGACAAGCAGAAGATTGCACCATCCTCCGTGGCAGGTAGGACTGAGATCTGTGGCACAGCACCTTTCCTAGGCTGGCAGAGGTGCTGTCGGAGAGGTTTTTATTCTTCCTTTGGGTTCACCCGAGTGAAGACATTGCGGCCCGTCCTGCAGGGAAGCAGATGCATGACAGACCCTACTGGTGTCCACCCAGCAGATGGGCAAACACCCCTAGGGACAGGATGCCCGTTCTCACCTGGTGGCTTTCCAGTCGTTGTCCAGGTGGTCGACCTTCTCGCGCAGGAGCCAGGCTGTCTGCAAGACCTCCTGCTCCTTGTCGTCCACGAAGCACTGGCCCACGAAGACAGCTGTGGAGTCTGCAGAGACCGAGCGGCCGTCAGCGCCCACCAGGCTTGCCCCGACAAGGGGTGTCTGGGGATGCGTCCTGCTGTCTGCAAGGTGCTCAGCAGACAGACAGGGGATGGCCAGAGCGAGGAGAGGTGGCCAAGCAACCGGAGTTGCCTCATCCACCCAGAGCTGCTGCCCCTACTTACCGGAGAAACTTTGCCAGTTGACGGTGAAGCCAAACGTGCACTGATTGTCATCGTCCAAGTGCTGGGACCCATGGAGGGGCGAGGGCTGGATTGGCTTCTGGGCGCTCGAGACGGCAGTGTGGTACATGCCGGAGAAGTTGCCCTTGTTGTCCACTTTGAACACTTGCATCTTGGAGCCCAGGTCGTTCTTCCACCACCCAGTCAGGTTGCACTGTTGGGGGATGGAGCCAGTGTGGTCCCCCTGGGCTGGCCTGTACACAGCACTGGGCGGGGGGCACAGCCCTTGTCTGCTGCCCCCAGACCCATGGAGCTCTCCTGCCTGGTGGCAGAACCTCCTCATGGGCAGAAGAGGCCCTCTGAGGACCCCTCAGAGTCACTCCCGACCTGAGAGGTTCCTTGCACCTCCTGAGAGGTTCCTTGTATGTGGCAGACCCTGGGTAAGTGCCTGAGAGCGTGCTGAAATTCTGCTGAAACTCGGGAAACTTTGGTAAGTTCTCTCTCTGATTCACCATCTCCATAAACAGGAACCACTGACTGAATCTGGGACCAGGATCAGGTCCAGCTGCCCCCAGGCTCCTCTCAGGAGGAGCTTGGAAAGTGAGGGGGTGACCAGGCAGGTCTCCCTGGCACTTTCAGCTGACCCTGTCCTCCACACAGCGAATATCTGAGCAGAACTTGCCATCGCCTACTTGCATCTGAACTTGTCTGGACACTATTTTTGACCTCACTACATCTTATTGCTGCTTCTCTCTTACCAGCGAGGTGCATCGCTCCTTGCTCATCCCTGATGAGCTTTCTCGAGGTCTTCAACTAGGAGCAAGCACCAAAGTTACCTTGCTGCTTCTCACGGGTTGCCTCTTCTCACTGTCTAGCCACCACTTGGTATTCGTTCCTTTTTCTTCCTTCATGTTGGCCTTTTCCCCTCTGAGAATCTCAGGCGGCTGGCAAATAGATTTAGAAACAAAAAAAAACCAGGTCAGGGTTTTGGTAGCGGCAGGAGCTGCTTTCCGGAGCCTGGGGAGGCTGAGGATGGGAGCAGGGCAGGGGCAGGAGCCCGCTATGCTTTCTACTCAGGCACTTCTCTTGAAGGCAACTGATTTATAAAGCCATCGCAACCTCAGAAACATCAGCAGAGACAAAAACCAAGTTAAAGAAAAGAGAATTAAAGGGATAAGGAAGAGGAAGGGGGGAAAAAAAAAAAAAAAAAAAAAAGCTAAAGGCGGAAACCCCAGACAGGCGGGACCTGCTTTGAGGGGCGGTGTCCGGGGGGGCGCGAGCCTCGCTGTGCGGGACTCATGTCGTGCTTGGTGTGCCCGGGGTCCAGGGAGAGCCCTCAGCCCCGGACAGAGCCCAGGGGGATCCTCCAGATCCCGCGGGGCAGGGATCTCCACGCGCAGGATTCCTGGAGCAGGGGCTCCCCCCAGAGCCCGGCTGCCGCTGGGAACGGCCCATGTCCCCACGGCCCCCTCTCCTTCACCCCCTCCCCACCAGCAGGGCTCCCACCCGGAGCAGGGCTGCCCCTGGGGTGGCCCCTGTCCCATCCCCCCTGGAACGGGGTTCCCACACGTGTCCCACCAGCGACGGCTCATGTCCCATTCCACCCCGGAGCAGGGCTGCCCCTGGAGAAGGCTGCTGTCCCATCCCGGACCTCTGAGGATGGCTCGTGTCCCATCCCGGACCTCTGGGGATGGCTCGTGTCCCATCCTAGACCCCTGGGGATGGTTCGTGTCCCACCCTGGACCCCCGAGGATGGCTCGTGTCCCACCCCCTCGGAGCAGGGGTGTCCACCCGCGTGTCCCCGTGCGTCTCCCGCTCCCACCTGGCTTCCCACAGCAGCTCCAGCCAAGGACGCTCCGAGGAGGACGGCGAGGAGGTGGCGGCGGCTGCTCATCGCAGGAGACGACTGCGGCTGGCGGAGCTGTCATCCCTTTATAGCCCGGCTGTCACCCGCTGCCACCACCCTGCCGGGCCGGGGTTGCAGCGCCGCACACCAAAACCTGTGACTTCCCGTAAAACAGCTGCTTTCTTTTTATGTTCCTGTTTCTGTTTCGGTTTCGTGAGAAAGGAACAGGACGTGTTGCTCACCGCCTTTTTGAGATGAGTTTGTGGCCTCGTGCAGGGTTTGGACGACAAGTTTCCAAGAACTGCTGCAGCAGCCGGTGCTGCTCGAGAGCAGCAGCTCTTATGGTGGAGCAGCGACCTGGAGCGGCTCCCAGCTCCCCCAGAGCCCGGTGTGTCCTGCTGCCCCCAAGCTGCCTCCCCTAGGAATGGCCGAGCTTCCCAGAAGCTGCCCAGCGCCTCGGCAATCCTGGTGCTGCTCCTCCGTCAGGGGACATCTTCACTTTTGCCAGGGCAAAAAAAAAAAAAAGTGAAGTTTTTGTTCAGGGCAGAACTCCAAAGGATGCAAATGAAGCTGCTCCCCAAATCCCGTTGCTTTCATCCCCCTCCATGTCCTACAGTCCTTACTGGGCTGGAGCTCCCACCCAGAACACACGTATCCCTGCTCAGCACCCTGGACACACAGCCCCAAGGCAGCTCAGGCTCTGGTGCTGTAGCTCCACGTGCCACTGTTAGCAGGACTCATCCTGTCCCCATCTTCCCAGATTTCTAACTTCCAGACAGTTCTCCTCAAGATACTTGACCCCCTGAGCTGGAAGACATCTACAGAGAGCAGAAGAAACCCCTTATAATTCAACAGGGGAGGTCCCAGGTGACTGGAACCTCGCAGCAACCCAAGGCAACACTGCAGGCTTGTGGCAGGCTGGCTGGAGAGCTGTGTGTCAGAAAAGGACCTGGGAGTGTTGGCCAACAGCCGGCTGACACATGAGCCAGCAATGTGCCCAGGTGGCCAAGAAGGCCATTGGCAACCTGTTTGTATCAGGAAGAGGGTAGCCAGCAGGACCAGAGAACAGATTGTTCCTCCATACTCAGCACTGGTGAGGCTGCACCTCCAACACTGTGCTCAGTTTTGGGCCCCTTGCTGCAAGAAAGACCTGGAGATGCTGCAGCATGTCCAGAGAAGGGGAATGAAGCTGGTGCAGGGGCTGGAGCACAGACCTTACATGGAGTGGCTGAGGGAGCTGGGGTTGTTTAGTCTGGACAAGAGGAGGCTCAGGGGAACCTCCTCAGGAGAACTCAGTTGCTCTCTACAACTACCTGAAAGGAGGTTGTAGTGAGGTGAGAGTCGATCTGTTCTCCATAATAACTACTGATAGGACAAGAGGAAATGGCCTCGTGTCAGGAGAGGTTCAGGCAAGACGTTAGGAAGAATTTCTACACAGAAAGAGTGGTGAAGCATAGAATATTTCAGAATATTTCAGAATATTTAAGGTTGGAAGGGACCTCTACAGATCATCTAGTCCAACCTTCCTGCTCAAGCAGGCACACCTACAGCATGTGGCACAGGGTGGCATCCAGGCGGGTTTTGAAGACCTCCAGAGTAGGAGACTCCACAACCTCCCTGGGCAGCCTGTTCCACTGCTCTGTCACCCTAACAGTAAAGAAGTTGCTCCTCACCTGGAGATGGAACTTCTTGTGCTTCAGTTTGTGGCCATTACCCCTCGTCCTATCGCTGGCCACCAGTGAGAACAGCYTGTCCCCTTCCTCCCTGCATTCTCCCTTCCTGAACTTATACATATTAATCATATCCCCTCTGAGCCGTCTCTTCTCCAAAGAAAACAGGCCCAGCTCGCTCAGCCTCTCAAACAGGAGAGGAACAGGCTGCCCAGGGAAGTGATGGAGTCACCGTCCCTGGCAGTGTTCAAGAAAAGTGTAAATGAGGCACTTAGGGATGTAGTTTAACAGGTATGGTGTGGAGGGAATTACAGTTGAACTCAATGATCTCTAAGGTCCTTTCCAACCATAATAATTCTATGATTCTATGATTTATCTCTGGTGATCAGGGTAGTGCTGCATTAGTGGGAAATAGATATGGGTGATATACTATATGGATCCCTCTACCAACTGGCTTACAACACTCAGTCTATCCTGTACCCATCCTGGAGCCTTGTCTCCTCAGGTAACCTTCATGCACGGTCACGCACGTATGCAGGTAGATCTCTGGTGACTGCTCCAGCGCTGAGACCCTGCTGGGAGCTGACCCCAAACCCCGCGGAGTCTCTCATAGCCTCTTTGGCTCAGAGCCTCCCTGGCTCCCCAGTGTCTGGCCTGAAATGGCCCCTCCAGATAGACCCCGTGCTCCCAAATCTCCCCTTCCCTGTCCAGTCTATGTAGCCATGCTGACTGCAGCCTGGCCACCCACTGATGTCCCTTTTATCCCCTGCTCCTTTTTTCCCCCACTTCTTCCTCCCTGAAGCCACTTGATCCTGCCTTTCCCCACACATTGGTCCTGCTCCCAAACCTCCCATATTGTCACCCTGTGCGCTTACCCCCACCTTTCCCTGGCATCTCCTGTCACGCTTCCTGAGCCCCAGAGCAGCCTCCCCGACCCACAGCACTGGGACCTCCTGCTGGGCTCTGCACCCTGCGGCTCTGGCACCCAGCAGTTCCTGGCTGCCCCCCTGCCCTCCCGGGGGCTCCGACACCCAGGGCTGACGCTCTGCTCCACCTCGGAGCAGCCGGGTGGATGCAGAGGCTACGGACACATCATCCCTCTGCAGCCAGAAACACCCAGCTCCAGGAGAGCCGCCGGAGCAGAGCCGTGGGGCAGGACCACCCCCAGCCGTGGGGCAGGACCCACGGGTGTCCCTCGGGAAGGACCAGCCGCTGTGGGGCCAGGGGTGCGAGCTGGCGGGAGCCCGCGGGCGGCACGACCCGGCACTGTTCTCTGCGTGCAGGAGAGGGCATCAGCCGCCCGCGCAAGGGCCCTGCAGCAGGGAACACATCCAGGCAGCCGCCCGGCCAGCGGCTGGGCTCCCTGGGGAGCCGCGGGAGGCGAGGGCAAGGCAGAGAGAAAGCTGCTCCCCGCTGCCCACCCAGACCCAGAGCAGCCCCCCAAACCCATGCAGACACCATCCAGCCATCCGGGCCCTTTCAGGGCTCTCCCCAGCGCGAGCTCTTGCTTTGCTGCAGCTTCCCTCTCTCCTTGTGAGTCTTCCACCATTTGCTCAGCACCTCCTCGGGATATATCACCCACACAGAGCTTTCCACCGCCGCCAGAGCAGCTGTGGGTATGGGCAGCTCATGCTTGCCTGCCCCACATGCCGCAGCCATTTACTGCCCGATGGTGCATCCAGGCACCGATGAGCCTTGGGCAGATGCTTCTCCCCTCTCCGTTGGGCCATTTGGGCTGCAAAGGCAGCCCCTGGACCCGCCGCGTGTGGTTTTGGATCTGCCCGTTGGATTTCTGCTCTCTGCGGATTTTGTGCTTCTGCAACCGGAACACGTCGGGGTTACTTGGAGCAACCTGTCTGCGCAGGGCATTGCTCAAAGACAGCTGTGCGAAACGCTGCGGGGCTCAAAGGGAAGTGTGTGTCGCCTGGGCCAACGGCCAAACGGCCGCCTTCCCTGCCCCGAGCACCCTCGTGTCCCCTGTGCCCCCTGCACCATCGCCGGCCTCCGCCCCGCAGCCGCGGTGCACGGAGCGGCTCTCGGCGCCTCGGCGCCCTGGGCTCATCCTCACCTCCCCGTAAGGAGGTCGGTGGTACACGGGGCCGGTTGGGGTCCCTGGGGTGTTGGTGGCACGGCCGCAGGGTCCTGCTGCCATCGCAGCAACAAGAGTGCCAGGATGGACACGGCACTGCCCTCCCCTACCCCGTACCCCTTCTGCACGGTGCCGGCAACGGAGACAGGCTGAACATAGACTGCTTCTGCGCGGAGACAGGTTTATTTGGCCCTGGGTGCAGGGAGGCTGCAGACAGCAGGCAGGAGAGCAGGGCAGCGGCGCTGTGGGGCTGGTGGAGAAGGAGAGACGGAGCGAGAGCCGGGATGCACCAGGCTGCGGCGCAGCTCCTCATCCCTTGACCCGAGTGAAGGTGTTGGTGCCGATCCTGCAGGAAAGCGCGTTACAGCACGGGGAGCGTGTGACGGCCCACGACGTGGCTGGGGACCAAGCCAGCCACTCACCTGGTGGCCTTCCAGCTGTCCCTGCGGGTCGGCACCTCCTCCCGCAGCAGCCACGTGGTCTCCAGCGTCTCCTTCCCACGATGGTCCACGAAACACTGGCCCACGAAGGCGGTGACAGAGTCTGCACGGGGCCGAATGGAGGGCAGAGGGAGGCTCAGGCTCTGCGCCCCCAGGCCCCCCGTGGGGCTGCCCGCGAGCCCCTCGCTGTGTGAGGGCACCGCCGCACCTGTGAACTGCCACTGCACCGTGAAGCCGAAGGTGGCCTGGCCCTTGGTGCCCGGCTGCTGGGCCCCTCGCAGTGGCGACACCAGGATGCGCTTGTTGGTGTCGGCCACCGCGGTGTGGTAGGAGCCCGTGAAGGTGCCCTCGGCATCGAGGGCCGAGAGGGTCATGTTGGAGCCCAGCTGGTTCTTCCACAGGCCCTGCAGGTTGCACTGGGGACCAAGCAGTCACATCGGTGCCTCACCACAGCACACGGGGCTGGGTGACGGCTGTGCCTCCACACAGACAGGGTGGCCGTGGGGCGGCCCCTCCGTGTGGGGCACGTGTGCTGGCCAGCCCAGCAGCATGAGGCAGCCAGGACTGGCCACACTGGTCACCAGCTGGGCCAGCACCTCCCCGTGCTCGTGGCAGGGCAGAGCTGGCCCCAAACCCCGGTCCCTGCAGCAGCTGGGAAGAGCACGGCGAGTGCGTGTCACCCCCTGGGGCGCGAGCGTGTCACCCCGTGGGATGTGCATGTGTCACCCTATGGGGTGCAAGCATGTCACCCCGTGGGGTACACGTGTGTCACCCCCTTGCTTGCATGTGTCACTCCATGGGGTGCGCATGTGTCACCCTCTTGCCCATGCGTGTCACCCCCTTGCGCGCACGCGTGTCACCCCGTGGGGCGCGCGCGCTGCACCCCGTCACGGCGCAGCGCTGCCCTCACCTTCCTGGCCGCGGCGGCGCTGAGGCACAGCAGGACGGCGGCGAGGACGGGCGCCGCGCGGCGCTTCGCCATGGCCCCGGCTGCAGCGTGTCGCAGGGTCCGGGGCCGCGCGCGCCGCGCACTTTGCTCGGGCCGCGGGTCCGCGGCTCCCTTTATAGCGCGGGAGCCGGGGCGGGCGGCGGCGGCGCCTGCTGGGGCTGCTGCCAAGGACGGGCCCCCGCTGGGTTGCCCCGGCCTCGCCAGGGGCTGCACGCCGGCCCTGCCCACGGTCGAGGAGCTGCCGGCCGCTCCTGGCTGCACTGCCAGGCTTGGAGAGGCCAGAAGGGCCACGCGGAGGTCCCAGCAGCAGGGCTGAGCCAGGGCCGGGATGGTGAGGGCAGCCCGGGTGGCATGGTGAGGGCGCGGAGGGACAAGAGCAGAGCGGTCACTTGCAGCAAAGCTTTATTGGGAAGGGAGGAGGTGATGGGGTCGAGGGTCCTGTGCTGGGCAAGCGCAGTCTGGAGACGTGGCAGCGGTGGGAGGAAGCAGCAGTGCGACCCCCGGTTCCATCACTCCGTACAGTGTCCTACACTGCGGGTGAAGGTGTTGACATTGACTCTGCAGGACACAGAGCGGGAGAAGGGGATTTAGAGAGGGAAACAGCATGGCCTCGCTGGTCTGGCACCCCGCCGAGAGTCGCGGGGTCCGCGTAGGGTAACACATCTCCAGGTCCCCCACACCCCATGTCTGCAGCACGAGGAGCCGGGTGCCAGCATCCCCCCCTTCAGCATTGCACCCCCCAGCTGGCACCAAGGGCCGTACCCTGCCTCCCCACCGCGCTCTTCGCTCTGCCGCCGGGCAGAATTAAAGGCTGCTAAGCACAAGGTATGTTGCCCGTGTTGTTGCCTGGCTCCGTGCCCGGGACTGGGCGCATGGGGCTGTGTTCCCTGTGCTGCTGGGGCTCACCTGGTGGCCTGCCAGTTGTCGTGGATGTTGTTGACCCGCAAACGCATTAGCCACACGGTCTTCAAAGTTTCCTGTCCATGCTTGTCCACAAAGCACTGGCCCACAAAGACAGAGGTGGATTCTGCAGAACAAGGGGAGAAGGGTTGGCAGAAAGTCCCCCACAGGGTGGCCAGGAAAGGCAAGGGTAGCGCGCTGCCCTCTCCTCTTCCCAGATTGGGTTTGCCCCAGACATGAGTCATACTTGGGGACTGGGAGGTGCCACCACCGAAACAGCGCCAGGCTTGGGGATGGAGGAGCGTCAGGGACACCACGGGAGAGGGCAGGGCAGCAGCTGGGACACTGCAGGGGAAGTGACAGCACTGTCAGAAACATCACAGGGCACGGCCGGGGACCATCACAGACTGGCAGAGTTTGGAAGGGACCTCTGGAGAGAGCTTTTCCTCAGAGAAGAGATGTTCCAGTTCCCTAGTGATATTCCTAGCCCTACACTGGACTCTCCAGCAGTTCCATGTCTCTCTTCTATTGGAGTGATAGGAAATCACAGGGGAGGAGAGAGCAAGGGATCATCAGGACATCCTGAAGGAGGACAAGGCACCGCTGAGGACACCACAGGGATGTGACAGTTGTATCTCAGGGGAGGGCACAGGATCATCAGGGATATTGCAGACAAGGTCAAGGGGCTTTTGGGGGCTTCATAGCGAGGCTGAGAAAGGGAGAAGCACCTGAGAAATTCCATTTGACGGTGAAACCGAAGGTGGGCTGTTCACGGCTGTGCTGGAATCCCTGCAGTGGAGATCCCCGGATATCGTTTGGATTGTCTGCCACAGAGGTGTTGTAGGTGCCGCTGAATTCGCCTTTGTCGTTCACTGCATTGATGGTCATATTGGAGCCGAAGTCGTTGACCCAGGTTCCAGTCAGGATACACTGCAAGGAGAGAATCAGCACGGGGCACCCGGCACCCAGCCCCGCGGCGCTGCCGGGGTGCCCGGAGCCAGCCCAGCCTGCGGAGCCGTTACCTTCCGCTCAGCCGAGGAGCTGGGAACGGCCAGCGCCAGGGCGAGCGCCACGAGGACGGCGGCCACCTGCATGGTGTCTGCAGCTGCGAGGTGCCGGCTGGTGTGCGGGACGTGCTCCTCGCAGGGCGCTCTCTGGGTGTCGGCTCCCTCTGCTTTTTATTGCCGCCGGGTCCCCAACTCTGCCCAGGCATTGCATAACCTGGGTGTTCCCACCTCCTGGTCCTCTCCACCTGCTGCTGGTCGCGGGCTGCTGCACCCCTCATTACCCAAACACACTGTGTGGGCACTGGATGATGTTAGACTCAACCTAGCCTGGCATTCTGGTACCTCAACTGAAGATAAGGCACCACTAAGAGGAGGATAAAGTCCGGACATCCTTTGCTTTGGCATTATTAAGGGCTAAATAATAGGAACCACTAAGAGGAGGGCAAGGTCCGGACATCCTTTACTTTGGCATTATTACGGGATAAAGAGTAGGGACCACTAAGAGGAGGGCAAGATCCAGATATCCCTTATTTTGGCATTATTACGGGCTAAAGAGTAGGGACCACTAAGAGGAGGGCAAGATCCAGATATCCCTTATTTTGGCATTATTAAGGGCTAAAGAGTAGGGACCACTAAGAGGAGGGCAAGGTCCGGACATCCTTTGCTTTGCCATTATTAAGGGCTAATAATAGGAACCACCAAGAGAAGGGCAAGATCCAGACATCCTTTGCCATTATCGTGGCAAAAGAGCAGGGACCAGAGAGACTTAAAGCTCACAGGTAACTTTGGTATACATACCTTGTAATATTTATTAAAAACAAAACAAAAAGGGTTACTCAGCAATCTAAATCAATTCTATTCCATCAAATGGTACACTGGCTTATTATAAGTATACTAATTATTCTCTTCAGACTTTCTGGAGCCTTCCCAGGGGAGGGACCTTTGATACAAATAAAATGATCTGCCTAAGGGAGGTACTAGAAAAATCAGGAGCTATGGTGCTCTGGAAGTAGTGGGATGCTTCCCTTGAAAAATATGGTGCGAACATGGAGTGAATGGATTGGCTCGAGGACAACTCTGAAACCATAGGCAGGCTGCCAAAAGGAGCATGAGCACAAGCCACACTGGTGATGACTGGCATAAGTTGAATGCAAGGGTGTGTAGTGAGGCTTTTATCCTCAACTGCCAGCTACTTCCTCCCTTCCCCTGGGTCTGGCTCCAGCTGGGAGGTCATTGCCTTCTGTTTCTAAAGACCCCAGCCTTGGCCAACACAACGGGCTCAGGTGAGACATCAGACCAGGAGGACCCCTTCTGTGTCTTATATCTTTCCCTTTTGTTCTCTGGTTTTGTTGTAGGGCTGGATACTCACCTCAGCAACCGTAGGCTGATATTCAGGTCCCTTCTGACTTTGCTTTGTCTCCTGGCATGAGTGGAAATGGAAACCAGAAGGAAATCCCAGTACGCCAAGGAGACTCCGACACACAATGTATATACATGTGGCCGTTCCCTCAAATCCTGCAGGTATGTAAGTAAAGGAATTTTCTGGGCCAGCTCCATGGTGCCACAATCTCTTCAAACTATTCCAGATCCAGGCTAGATGCTGCTCCATGCTTGAATTTGTGACTGCTGGTTTGCCTCCTGCCTATCTACCTCAGTTGCAGCAGCGGCTCTCAGTCAGCAAGGGTGAACGTGTCACTCTTGGCCAGCCCTTTTTGGTCTCAATTCTGCATTCATTTCCTGCCTTCTTATTGTGAGGGAAAATTCTTTTTTTTTTTTCCTAAATGCCCTCTGAGATGACATTCTGCTCTTAATTCTGCCTCTCTTTTACCTATTGCATCTAATGGTGAACGTCAGGACTGTAACCGTAACCTTTTAGCTGACTTATTTTCCTCTCCCTGGCTGCATCTTAAAGGTGGCTGCATCTTAAAGATGTTCCTTTAATGAATCCTGTCCGATTTGTTGACGGGTCTTGTAATCAGGAATATGCTCTGGTAATAATTGACACGTTCTCCAGCGGGCTAGTCTCTAGTTGGCGTTTACCTTTCTAAATGAGATGAAACTACTACAATAGTGAAGAAGCTGCTGAAAGAATTTATGTTCTGGTTTGGATGACCTTTGGCCATTGATCGTGGCTGAGGCACTCATTTTATGGGACTAATCATTTGTGATGTATGCAAAGCTTTGCATGTTGATCAGTAATTGCGCTGTGCCCCTCATCCTCAACCAAGGGGGAGTGTGGAATGGAAGAACGTAGGCTTGAAAACCTGCACTGCAGAAACTCGTGCTGAAACTAAGCTCAAGTGGGTAGAGGTCCCATCTCACTGAAGCATATTTGAAATAGGGCAGACCAAAAGCGCAGACTATCACTGTATTAAATCCTTATGGGAAGGCCTATGTGACTGCTGCCTGCGCCTCCAACTGAACCAAGAAATCTGGTATTAGAAGATGATCAACTGTTAGATTATGGTAGAGATCTACTCAAAAGTTTTGGGTTTCTATACGCGGGGGTGCATGACACTCTCTCAGAACCCACTGCTGCGCTGTGCCACCCCTTGCAACCAGCTGAGTGGATGAATGTGAAAGCACTGCAGAGAAGAGCGTTCTCCAGTCCTGATGCCAAGGGTCTTATTAGTCACCGGGAGTGCTGTATGTTGCAAAGAATTGCCCCCTTGAACACCTTTATCTCACTGCAAGAAGGCAGCAACATGTAGAGAACACGGCCCAAGCAACCTCTGTTCTGAGCCAGAGGAACCCTGCTGTAATCCAGATGCGCCTTCCAGTTCCTCAGTCTCTCAGACCCCAAGGTGTAATCTTAGGTCTTGAAGGAACATTGTTGCAGATGAAAGTGAGTTGTGTAGAACCATGCCCTTTGATAAAATGTGTGTTTTGGAGGCACCTATGGTTCCTGGTGTCACACTGTGTAAAATCTAAATGGTGTCTGTCACGAAGAGGCAGGTCCTTTGGGCAGGCTTCACTATCTACCTGAGCTCGGTCTTGGCACACCTAGGCATCATGGTAACACAACGTTCAAACACTAACCCAATTCCATCAATTTGCTCAATGCTTCATACCCCAGTTAGATACGGGGCAGTGTGAGGAGGTCCTAACCGCTATTGCAACCCCAGTGGAACAAACAGACCACTCGTGTTAGGTGCTCTGCAGGCACTGCATTGGGGAATTCAGTCTTTGGTGAAGTGGGCAGTGGGACAGAACTGCCTTGCCCTTGATTTTCTGTTAGCTTCTCAAGGAGAAATTTGTGCCTGAGTGAGTGGAAGCTGTTGCTTTTAGGTGGACTGGGATCGGAGAGTTGAACCTGGCTTTGCAAAGCTCCATGCAGGCCTGCAAGAAGGACTCGGGGTAAGAGCAGAGCAAGAATTTGACTGGCAGGGATGGGTGCCTCACCGAGGAGGAGGGATGAGGGGATGGTTAAGAGGACTGCTAAAATTGGTCGTTATAGGAGCTCTAATCATTGCAATTATGTGTTTTTGTAAGGCTTAGTCACAGCAGTGTATCAGCATGTATCAAGCCAAGCACAAATCCCACCCTCCCCACTGATCAATGCCAGTATTAAAAGAAGGGACGCCACAAACAAATGTTGCAGACACTGCAGAAGGATCAAGAACACATCAGTCAGCTCATGAACATACAATATCAAGGAGAGTGAGGCTGGAAAAGGCTTGCAGGGTGTAATATGAAAGCAAAAGAGCATCAAGAGTAGCAAGACTGATTCTGTTTTGTTGGTCCCTGACATCCTGGGAGTAAGCAGAGGGTGAACCTGTGAGCCTTGTTTGTATGCCTGAGCCCTGCGGAGCAGCGAGGCCAGTAGCTGAAGAGGTTGATAGAGGAGAAAAAGATAAAAAAACACAACCTATGCTCCAAACAAGCCGCTCTCTCAGCTCCTCCCTGCATGCATCACCAATCTGATAATGACAGACAGTGGCTGTGCAGCCTTAAAGGATGTCCAGAAGTCAAAACGCTCTACAGGAGCTCTGGTGCTGAGATGCAGCTCCTCCGTGAGCGGGCACCATGTGGAAGAACAGCTGCCCATGCTCAAATTCCAGCTGCAAACTCCACGGGAAGAGACCTTTGAGATCTCGGCAAAGGGAATTTGGGTGAGGACTGCCTGTGAGCTTCCAGACGACTGCCAGAGCAGCAGGGGTCCAGTTTGGTCATGAGAGTGTGGATGAGTGAGTAGGAGTGGGGCAAAGGAAGCTCGCTGTGAGAAATGGGAGCCAAGGAATTCCTGGTTTTGCAAAGAGCAAGGTAAGGTCTGGAAATCCCTTACTTCACCCTTATTGCGGGCTAAGGAGCAGGGAGCATGACAAGTGGGGATGCTGCTGCAGTGCAGCAGCATCTTTTAGTCAGCTACAGAGGAGGTGAATGTTTGGGTTGGCTTCACAAGCTATCTAAGATCCAACTCTGCACAATTTGGAGGCTGTTGTAGTCCAACCAAATTGACTTTGATTGGAGGAGATCTATGTTACTTAAAAAAAAAAAAGAAAGAAAGAAAAAAGGAAAATATACTTTGGAATTAAGTATTTTAATTCTGACAACACACCACGTTTACATGGGAATTTCTACATCACTTTAATTCAGTACTACAAAATTGTCCTTACATCCTTTTTGCTGCTAGCCAGATGGTGTGAAGGAACTCAGCCTTACACCGGAGTCTCTGACCTGCTGTTTAAGGACTTTTGGTGCTCCTGATGCCGTCAGGAAGCCCTGGAGAGGGAGGCACTCCGGCTTAGGTGACGGATGCTCCGGTGCGAGGAAAAGCCGGTGTCTGGCGCCCATCTCCAGCCTTGCTTCTCCCTGGTGGGAGCTGTAGCTCCTCCACTCGCCCCTGCCCGTTGCGGGGCCAGGGAGGCCGCAGCGGGTGCCAGGCCGGGCTGGACGCCCGTGGTCAGTGCGGGGCGGCTGCCCCTGCAGAGCTTCTGGGGGCTCGAGGCTGGGACCCCGGGATAGCTCCTTTCTAGCACGCGGGGACTGGAAACAGCCTCTGGAGCAGGGAGGACCACTTGGGATGCAGAGGGAAGAGCCCTGGCAGCCCCCCTGGACGCACGGACCCTTCCAGGACATTCACCCTTTGCCCAGGCTGTGGGTTGGGTGCCCCCACGCTGGGCTGTACTGGGAGCCCCAGGGAGTGCTGGCTGTACTGTACAGTGCACAGAGGATGAGAGCCGAGCAGCCGCTTGCAGCAAAGCTTTATTGGCAACAGCAGGGAAGGAGGGATGAGGAAGGTGCGGATCCTGCACTGCTCGAGCCCGACCAGGAGCCACGGCGGTACGGGTGGTCAGAGGGGGAAAAAGGGGGAAGACAGCGCAGCCGCCGGCTCTATCACTCCCTCCGTGGCAGGCGGGTGAAGACATTGATGCCGACTCTGTGAGGCACAGAACAGGGAGAGGGGATTTAGGGAGGGAATCGTGTTCCTGGAGACGTGGGGGCTGTGCAGGGTAACACGTCTCCGGGTCCCCTCCCAGTGTCCGCAGCACCCGGAGCGAGTGCTGTCCTCTCGGAGCGCGGCACCTCCCCGGCGCGCTGCTCCCCACCGCGCTCCGCTCTGCCGCTGGGCAGGATTAAAGGCAGCCAAGCACAAGGTATGTTGGCCCCGTTACCCGCTGGCGCCGTGCCCAGGACCGTGGCCGTGTTCCTCGCGCTGCCCGCCGCTCACCTGGTGGCTTTCCAGTCATCGGCGAGGCTGTCGACATCCTGCCGCAGGAGCCACATGGTCTTCAGAACCTCCTTGCCGTCCTTGTCCACGAAGCACTGGCCAGTGAAGACGGTGATGGAGTCTGCGGAGGTGAGGAGGAAGCTCAGAGCAGAGGCGGGAACACCCGGCAGGACAGGAGAAACCCGCGGGCTGAAACCCGCCCTCCGTCCCAGGTGTTCCAGCATGCCGGGACTTGGGAGACAGGTGTCTATTCCTAGGGACCTCGGGGGCATCTGGAGCATGGAGTAAGATCAGGACACATGGCCAGCGGCTCCCGTCGGCAGGGGGACAGGAGACTGACAGGGACAGCGCAGTGAAGTGCAGGGCACAGCTGGGGACACCACATGGGAGGGCAGGGACCACCGATGTCCCACCAGGGACATTGCAGCAGAGGGGACAGCACCGATGGGGACATCACAAGGGTGGTCCGGGGACTGTCAGTGATATTGAAGGGGAGGACAGGGCACTGTCGGGGGTGTCATAGGGAAGGACAAGGGAGGAGAGAGGACATCACATGGCACCACTGTGGAAAGGAAGGCACCATGAAGAACATCTCCGGGAAGGGCAAGGGGCCACAGGAGACATCACAGGGAAGGGCAGAGACACCGCAGGGAGGCTGCGGGGGGAGAAGCACCTGAGAAGCTCCAGTTGACGGTGAAACCGAAGGTGGCCCTGTTGCGCTGGTTCCTGCGGTGCTGGGAGCCCTGCAGCGGGGAACGCTTGATCTCGTTGTTGGTGGCTGTCACGGCAGTGTGGTAGGTGCCGCTGAACTCGCCTCTGCCGTTCACAGCATTGATGGTCATATTGGAGCCCAGGTCATTGATCCAGCTTCCAGTCAGGATACACTGCAAGGAGAGAATCAGCACGGGGCACCCGGCACCCAGCCCCGCGGCGCTGCCGGGGTGCCCGGAGCCAGCCCAGCCCGCGGAGCCGTTACCTTCCGCTCAGCCGAGGAGCTGGGAACGGCCAGCGCCAGGGCGAGCGCCACGAGGATGGGGGCCACCTGCATGGTGTCTGCAGCTGCGAGGTGCCGGCTGGTGTGCGGGACGTGCTCCTCGCAGGGCGCTCTCCGGGTGTCGGCTCCCTCTGCTTTTTATTGCCGCCGGGCCCCCAGTGCCAGCTCTGCCCAGGCATTGCATAACCTGGGTGTTTCCAAAGTTGTGTTTCCTGGCGATACGAGAGGGCGATTGCATGCGGATATTCCCAGCAGCTTGTTCCGAGACGGCTCCTCCTGGCTCGCGTGCCCCTGAGCCCCGGCGGCCGGCAGCACTGCGGGGCCGGCTCCGTGTGACCTCGCTCTCGGCCACGGTCTCGTGGTGGCTCCGCTACAGACCAAGATTGGTCTTAGACCAAGATTGCTTAGCTAAGATTGCAGACCCTGATTCCCAGCCAGAACAGCTCCAGGGCCAGAGGTGGCATCCTGGGATCTGCTGGGATCACCAGGCTGGAGCAGGGTGAGCACCTGGCAGAGGGATGGGGCAAGAACAGGCTGTGTGCAGCAGGAAGCTGGCTGTGATGGGAGCTCTGAACTAACCCCCGAGTCGGGGGAAGCCTCTCCAAGGACTGCTCCCCTGAAGCCCTTCCCGCTGCACACTGGCACCATCCCCGGCAGCTTCTCCTGATCCCCTCCGTGCTGCCGCCCGCAGGAGGCTGCACCCCTCATTATCCGGACACCCCATGTGCTGCCAGACGTTACACCAGCCTACCCCACAGAAGGCACCCGTCACGCTCCTCCACGCTGGATACCTTCCCATGCACCTGGCCCCATGCACCACGTCTCCCGCAGAGCTTCCTCCGCGCGCCCTGCAGCTCCGGCAGCTCCGGCAGCTCCGGCAGCACGCGGGGCTCCCGGCTGCAGCCGCTCTGCTCCGGCCCCAGCCCCGTCCTCGTCCTCCCACCCGGCACTCGCGGGGTCCCCACATTGCGCCCCCACCACGGCCCCACGGGGCCGCTCTGCAGAGAGCCGCGTTCCTGCGGCCGGATGGGCACTTCCCATGGCGCGCGGTGCCGCCCTGGCCTGGGCCACCGCCAGCCGGCGCCGGTGAAGGGGCCCCGCAGCCACCACCCCTTCCACGGGGCGCCCGGGCCTCTCCAAGCGCCTGGAGCGGCTCCGGGACGAGGCCAGGAGGCCCCCGTGGCTCCCCGGTGCCCCCCGCGGGCCCTGTGCGCCCGCGCTCCGCTCTGCGGCTCCCGCTCGCCGCCCCGTGTGCTCGCTGGCACCGGGCTCGGCACCGGGCCGTGTTCCGCTCCCCACGGAGCCGGGGCTTCTCCTGGCAGGGAGCAGGTTTCTTTGCAAGAAGGAACAAACCCCAACATTCCCCAAATAGCCGGCGCGGGGCGTTCTGATGCCGTCAGGAAGCCGTGTTTACGGTGGGGTTTTTAAATAGCTGCAGGTTGGTATTTATAAACTCGACCTTGTGTTGCATCGGTGGCTGGCCGGGGAGTCTGACGCCACTCGGCTCACACCCGGTTTTCCCACCTCTTGACTAGCAGTTTTCTAAGTGCTCTCCTAAAATATGGGGTTGGGACTCCCTCCCCATCATGCTGAGGGATCATTTCGATCTGTTCATCAATGAATACTCTGTTTTTTTTTCCCTTAAAACAGAGAGAGGGAACCTCTTGCAACAACTTAGAAACTCCTTTTGATTTTCGGTTGCTTTTTAGCCTCATTTCCGAGCTCATTCCTGGCTGCTAAACGCGCTCCCTTGCGCTGCTCCTCGCCCTGGGTGCCCTCAGCAGCAGCTCGCAGCCCTTGCCGGAGCCCTGTTCCGCGCGGCCCCGCTCGCCGCGACAGGAAATTCCCGCCCGCCTCCTTCCCCTTCTCGGCTGCCGGGACTTGCGTCAAGGAGAGGTTTCCCTCGCGTTGACCTCGGCCGTGGCGGCTGCCGCGCGTGCCCTGCGCGCACCCCTCCAGGACGGCAACGAGGAGGGCACCGGGAGAAACCCCGGGGCGGCCCAAGCAACTCCGGGGTGGCACTCGGGACATTCACAGCCCGACACAGCCGTCCCGGTGCTCTCTGCCCCCGTGGCCAGCCCAGGCTGCGGAGGAGCGCAGTGTCCCCGCAGTATCCGCTGGCGGGATGGGAAGCAAAACCACTCAGTGGCCGTGCCAGCTCCTTGGTGCTGCGTGCCTGGTGACCCTCCAAACGTACCCCCGAGCAGCTCGGCCCTGCACGAGCGCACGGCGAGCGCGGATGGAGCAAGTGAACGTCTAGCCCGAAGCTGGAAACCGGAGCAGGATGAAGGAGCTCAATGAAGCCAGAGGAGGATGAAGAAACTCAATGCAGAAAGACCTGGGCTCTAAGCGCATGCGCGTGTGGCTTTGAGGAACGACTGGGGGAAAATCCGACATTGTAACTAAGAGAGGATGGAGCTAATGTTGAAAAAATGGCAGTAGGGATGTCAGAGAAGAGCTATTTGTCTCACAAAGACTGGTTGCCATTCCAACACGGAGAGGTATCCACGCACCTATTTCCAAAAATTAACGCTGTACTGCTCAATTTTAATTGATACATGTTATGAAGTCAAAAGGAAGATGCAGCGATGGAGGAACAAGGCTGGAGCTCCCAGCCCTTGCAGGAAGGGTTCTGTGCAAGCTGCGCTCAAGGGTTAAGGCCTGGGCCAGCAGGTCTCTGTAGTGGAACAAAGTGCTGCGATAAGGGCACGGTTTTGGCGACCGTGTTTGTTCTTTGCCTGCTGGATTGGCGCGCAACTCTGTTTTGGTGACTGCCGATGGTAGGCAAACAGCATCTCACAGGAAAATGGATAAAACAAAGGAGCAAAACTGCTGCTGCTCGGACATGGGGACCCGTCGGAGAGGGAGGCATGTCAGCTTTGGTAACGGATGCATCTGGTTAGAGGGAAACCGGCACCCGCTCGGCTCCTCCGCCCTCGCTTTGCGCTGGCTGGGCCCGTGGGTGCCTCTGCCCGGCTTGTTGCTGCCGGCCACGCTGCGGGACCACCCGTGCGGGTGCCCCTGGTGCCATCGTCCCGGTGCCATCCTCCCAGTACCCCTGGTGCCGGCCTCTTGGTGCCCCATGGCAGAGCACATGGACATCCATGGGCTGTTTTGGAGCTCGCAGGGACATTGCAAACCACTGGCGGGGAGAACAGGGCTGGAAATTCCAGGAAAACTCAAGCTTTGGTGCATAGCTAATGGAAAGAGTTGCGGGAGCGAGGCAGACCACACTTCCATCTCGAGGGTAGTGGAAACACGGCAAACTCAGCCCACTGCAGCCCAAAACCTGGTGGTGCCCAGCAATCGCGTAACTGCAGAAATTCGGTCTGGGTGCTGGGAAACCCCCCTGCGCTGCCCTCCCTGCCAGAGCCCCTCGAGCCTGGCCCAAGCCCTGGGGCACCCATGGTCCCACCATGCGCCCGGGCTCGGCGGGTGCCCCGCATCCCTGCCCGCGGGGACGGGAACCTGGGGAGCCTTCCCCGGCACTCGGCCCTTGTGTCCCGGAGCCAGAAGGTGCAGCAGGGGCTGGCGGCGTGGGCCGTGCCCGCCGAGACCTGCCCGGATAACATTATTCCTCAGCCCACACGGATGCCGGAGCGCTCTCCGGGAGAGCGCAGGGGAAGAAAGGGCCATTCATTGGCACGCTGGGTCTGTGCCAGCCCCGCATCCCTGCATCCATGGGGCAGACCCACACGGCGCTGAGCGCCCTGACGGGCCTCATCCCTGTGACCAGGTGAGGGCTGAGCCGGCACCGGAGCAGCTCCCGAGCCCGGCTGAGGGAACCGGGCACCGGTGGGCAGCCTGGAGCGCCCTGCAGGACCCACAGTGCGAGGCTGCAGGCCAGGGCAGTTCCTGGGAAGCTCCGCTGTCCCCACGTGGGCACAGAGGCCACAGCAGGGAGGCTTAAACATTAACGGGCAGCCACACAGCAAGCAGCACCCGTGACCAAGGTGCTGGGAGAGGCAGAAACGGGCAGAGGGAGGTGGCACACGGCAATGGATGGAGGCCAGGCCAGCGCCTGGGAAAAGACCACGTAGCTGCTGTCCTACCTCCAGCCCCGTCGCTCTTTTAGTGGCCCCTTTTTGCTCTTTTTAGTGGCCCTGCCAGGTCACCCAGGTCTCCCAGCCCATCTGGCCACACTTCCCCCTTGCCCAGCAGCTGGCCAGGCAGTTCCCCATTTACACGGCTCAGGCTGGGGCTTGCACTGCCCAGGGAAGGGCAGACAGCCCAAGAGCAGATAGGCCACGCTCAGGGTCACGCTTAAGCTGATGCTCAAAGCCAAGACCCACAGCAGCCCCTCAGAGAAGGGGGCAGCAGGGCTCCATCCCACCCCTGCGTTGTCCCGCGCTATCAAAGCTCAGGGACCTGCCCCAGGGGTAACAAGCAAAGGGCCTTCCCCCGCGCTGCAGAGAAAGGGGAAGGGGAGCAGGGCAGCAGCAGGGAGCACAGGCCGGACACCCAGAGCCAAGGCTCGCACCACAGCCCTGCGAACACCCACGCAGCCACAGTGAGGCCCACGGGGCTGAGGAGGGCAGGACATGGATGCTAACGGAGCACAGGAGTAGGGAACAAGGCGAAAATGCACCCTAGGACCTTAGTGCAACTGGGTAGAGGGGAATTTCTGCTCCTACCACAGACACAGTGGCATCAAAGAACCAAACCCGCAACAAACACACACAAAAAAGCCCACGACAGCAGCCTGTGGTTGAGGCCTGCCCCATACCTGCTGCTACAGACCATCCACCCAGACCGCTGTGCAAACCAGCCAAGGTTAGGAGGAGCTTTGAAGGAAAAGGAGGAAGACCATGGGCGCGTGTTCAAAGGAAGTACAAAAGGCTCACCCCACGGGACAGAGGGTTGGATCATCATTTATTAAGAACTTAAATTAAAATGATTCGTAATGTAAAATCTGTTCCGCTGCTCACGAGAGCGACACTGCTGTGCCAGCAGGGAGGGTGCCACAGGGCCAGACCAGGGCCGCGCTGCTCCACGCAGGCCGGGATCTGGGCTCGGATTGTCTCGGGCCAGGGACAGGATTGTACTTGCCACAAGCTCTCCTGCGTGCCCCGCGTTGGGC